AGAAGGTAAGTTAATTGGAATGTTAAAAAGATGTACGTTGCCGATCCGCTCGTATAGGAAATTTTTTTTAACAATTATTATCGAGTACACTTCTCAACGTGACGCGTGAGAAACGAAATAGGAATGTCATTTGAAATCTTCAGTTTTTTTTATCCAATGAAAAGAAAATTTGTTGAACGAGAATTCTAATTATTCGTTTCGTTTCACGAGTATCCATCGATCCTCAAGTGATAATTACATTAATTTATTCTCCGTACGCCACAGAATTTCCAGATTTATTTCGCTAATTACCTTTTTAATGGACGTTCTACGTTTTCCTTCTTTTTATTTTTTTCCCCAATCAGCTTTCTACCACGACACTTAAGGAAATTCTAAAACGAACAAAACGACCATCATCTGAATTTTTTTGCCTCCTTTTACCTCAACGATCGAAGAGTTCGAGAGTCGACGGCTTAAAAGCATAATACATTATTAACAGTTTCTGCGGTCAACTTATCGACGAAATTGAGGAAGAAAAGAATGAAAAAAAAGGGAACAGACCTTATCGCAATGACAGAAAAAATAAGCGATCAATCGTTCAGAATTACAAATTGTTAACAAAACGAGAGGTCTACTTGACATATTAAAATACTACCAATGAAACTTTACCAAAAGTCACAAGTTATGAAAAGATTGGCGGTTTATATCCGATATAACGTTATTATTAAAAAATGATAAATGAGATTGTATGAATAAATAAGGCAACGTAATAACATATCTAGACATAAAAATCAATAATCGAACTTAGGCAAACTTGAGAGATACTTGTGAGAAAATAAAACGTTACATTAAAAAATGATTGTTTCCTCCGAAAAGATCATCTAAGGCAAAGAATAGCAAAAGTGGACCGTGAGAGGGTATGTAGGACGCAGCGAAATGCAAAATAAAGAAAAAGAAAGGGAGAAAGGGCAGACAAGGTAAAAGCGTACATCAAAACGTGCCAACCCTTCGGAATGTCTAATGAAGCGTGTGAACTTCAACCCGTTTCGCGTGTAACCTAATTAAGTCCGGAACGTGCATGCAAATTTTCGCTCAGTGGGACGTGCATAGGTAACCCCATAGCGCGCATTTTTCCCTCTCTCCTTTCGCTATCTCAACCGACGATTTGTTTTCATACACGACGACTTCTCTAACCCGAACATGCTCATTTTCATGGCTCGACTGTTAATTAATTAAATACTTGATATCAGTCATTACATACAAATAGAATTAATTATCTAGGTACTTGACTATTTTTCCTATTTGCTCATTTCTTTACAATTATAACTAACTAAAATAATTAAAATATTCAACAATAAAATATGGAAAAGGAAATATTCCCATTAGTGATAATTTATTAATAAAAATTACTCTTTCTAGTTTGGTACAGTATATCAATGACAACAGTGCAACCTGCATTTTTCGGGTTGAAATGCTATCGCACGTTCGATGAGGGATGAATATCTATTGATTGGCTTTGGCCTCCCTTCAGTGTATCGCGACCATATACCATACCTGCTGCAACCCTAAGCACATCCGGACTACCTGCAACTTGTACGTGGCAAATCGTCGTGTTTTCGACGCCACGTGCCTAGGAACAGGTACATCGACCGATACCCAACCTAACACAATGTTCTTTCTATTTTTCGATTCTCGATACCAATTGATCGATGCATTTGACATCCCTCTTGAAAAATATATAATCTTTTACTAGTCATATTTTGTTGATTAACAAGATATACCTACCTACTATTAGCCATTGCCAATTCAAACGATTCTAATTACCTGCTCGCATGTTTGAAAAACTGTGTTCTAAATGAACATAATGACAGAAAATTAGAGAAAAAGATACTTAGATCGTTAGACAGATACTTTGATCTATTAACTGACTATTTGCTTTCGTAAATTGCTATGAGCAGACTTTTTCTGAATTCCTATTATTAACGTTTTCATTTGATTGTTATGGAGAATTTTTAAAAGTTAAACAATTATAATGATACAAACGAAATTTTCAAAATGTAATCTTTCATCGTTACAAAAGTTTATATTATGGTCTCATGAGATATAAGAAACATTCTCGTTATGCTCATATAAATTATGTATGATAACGAAATGTGGTATTGGTAAAATTTCAAAAGTCTAACTCCCATTGTGTCCGTCGTCTCGTTCCAATGAGCACCCTTTACTCAAATTAGTAACTCGATATCGGTGCATTGTCCTTGCACTGTCAGCATGTATACATCAAGAAGTATGCATAGTTACGGTATAAAAGAAGGAATAATATGAAGAATGAAAAAAAACGATACGTTTTCAATGCAGGATATCTTGTTAATGCTTCGCTCGAACCTCTTCATACAACGGGTGTTTACTTTTTCGTCGACACGACTTCTCATCGGTTTAAATGACTCCGCTGTGAGAGCCGAAGAGCTAACAAACCGCAAGATGTTATTACCTATCCTTTTTAAAGTCCTCAATATAATAAATGATTTCAATTCTAGACTCTTATGTTTCCTTTTACAAAAACATTCGCTTACTGTTTGGAGAAAAAAATTATTCGTAATACAATTTTTCCAATGATAATAAATTTATCGTTTTATCAAAAAACAACATTTCTCAAAATTAGATTTAAAAGAGAGTTCATAAAAATAACAACAAAAAGTACTCGTAATAAAATACATCGATCGATTATGAATTTATCATTTGATGGAGACAAAAATTTCTCAAAGTTAGATTACAACGAGAGTTCAAAGCAAAGAGAACCCCCTTAAGCAAATCGTGAGAGAAATGGAAAGAGCTCCCCTAGCATATCCGGATACGTTCCTATCCTGTCAGTCGTATGTCAACCCTCGTTGTTTTTTTGCCGCGCTCTCAATAATTGATCATCTGATTACGATACATTATACCCTCTTTTTTCTACGTTGCCATGCCATCGTAGAGTATTATTCCTGCACCAAGAGAAAGAGAGAAAGAAAGAGAGCGAGAGACAAAGAAAGATAGATAGGTAGATAGAGAAAGAAAGAGAGAGAGAGAAAGAGATGGATTGTCGGAGGAAAGGAAAGGGAGAGAAACTTTTTCTTCCGCCTCTCAACGAGGGACGCCATTTGCATATAGGTCCCCTTATCGACAAATACACAGGGGGCGCACTTCCTAATGAGGGCCCCCTCCTCTTTCCTGTCGTTCTCTTTCCTTTATTTTTTTAACGTTGCCCGTTGTTCGTAATTCATTCGCCGAGCGACATGGACCAACTTCATCTCTCTTTCTCTCTTTTCCTAATTTTCTTTCTCTCTTTGTCTCTCTCTATTTCTCTTTCTTCCTTACGAATGTGTAAGTAACATATGCATGAGTCTATAGAACTTATACATTTTTCTACTCCGTATTCGTTGTTAGCGTATCAGAAAAAAAAGGTTGAAAGAGAACGACAGAACCGGTTACAATAGGAAAATTATGAATTACGATGTCGAGATTTGTTAAGGCAAAAGAATGAAAAAAATTTCATCCTGACATCTGCCTTTTAGGATAAGTGCAAAAAATGTTAACCGTTTGATATCTTTCTATCTTCTTCAGGGCCATATTTAATTAGGATTAAAACACGTGCACGATGAGAAACATGCTTTTCAAAATGATGTTCACACAAATCTTGTTACTACCGATAATCTGAGTTAGTCTTGACTGTTTCGTTAAATAAGGAATTTCCAAGTAGGTATCGTTAGGTCGCAGGTATAACTAGATCCCCTTAACGAGTCTATATAGATGGTTCCGATTTCCTAAGAAGGATCTTCAAAAATGAGTAGTTATTTTCTGCGACAAGGTGCATCGGTAGCACAAGCGGCACGAAACATCTCAAAAATAACAGGTCGAATAAGCAGCGAGACCGGTTTCCTATCCCTGAGAGCGATCGTTACTAAGTTCCTTGCACAACTGTTAGAATAATCTGTGGTGAGAATCGTGATCCATATACAATATGCACGTAGACATATTCGTAAGTATTACGTCCAGCTCGAAGACGAAGGCAGGTGCTCTCTTCCAAGAGAATAATTAATATTCACCGAAGGAAAAGAGGGCAAAAAGGGGAGGATGGTCTCCTCTTTTAAACAGTTAACGCGTTAGCGAGCCAAGACCGCTGTGCTTCCACGATGGCACCTGGTTCTTCTTCTTCTACTTAATTCGATATTTCGAGTATTCCAAGTTCAATTATTTCGAAGGATGTCGATAATAAACATCACGGAATCATCAAAAAAATTTCTTTTTTTCTTCTTTTCTTCTTCTTCTTCTGCTTCTTTTTTTCTTCTTTTTTAATTGATCAAAATCCGTTTCTCCATCGTCTTCTAAATTCGATCCGATTTATTTTAAAAACTAATCATACTTAATGACTCTTAATAACTTGTATACAGCCAACGAAAAACATAACTCGATCATTACGTTGAATATTTTTGTTATTAGTGGGGCAATATAAATGCACGGAAGTACCCACAGCTGCAGAGAGAACATGTAAAAGTTGTGATCAGATAAAGATAAAAGCGGAGGGTGGTATAAGTACGTAAGAGAGTCTCGAAAGAGAGAAAAAAAAGTGATAGAATAGAGAGGGAGGAAGAGGAACGATACAAATTACAAGCACCCGGAACCGGTCTCATGTTTGTGTTAACTTTGTTCGCGTGCTTTCAGGAAATGCTTCACATGACTTTCGCAGTCCCATATTATCGTTTATACATTTAAACTTTATATCGTTATTTCCTCTCTCTCTCTCTCTCTCTCTCGCTCTCTCTCCCTCTCTCTCTCTCTCTCTCTCTCTCTCTATTTCCTTATTTCCCTCTTTATATTTTATAAGATATTATATTAATAACAACCTAATGACGTTTACAACTGGAAATGTAAAACATTACTATACTATAACAAAGTACAGATTTACTCTTAAATACATTTATTTAAATAAAGCTTATTCACTTCTATTTAATTACATTATATTTTGTTATTTTTCATTGCAGATATGAAGCTGTAAATCTCATTTACGAGCAAGTAATCAAAGCATACAAAGATACAGAAATCAATTGGAATTTAATACACGATGCTGGTTGCACTATAGATGACACCGAACTACCACATCATGTTACTTCGCCACACGATCTCCAACGTCTGATAAACATAACATTTGCAAACTTCTTAGAGGCTTTACCAGGAGAGCCGACCATCGTTACTATTTCGAGGTAAGAAAACAAATTCATTCAAAATAATCAAATATAATATCGATCTTCAATTTGTGATAAGGATAAAAATAAAAGATTTTATTCTTTTATGCCAATGCAAGAATTTATTCTTGATCTCGATTATTCGTAATTTAAAAAAAAAAGTGGTTGAAAAGTTCGGCTATCGAATATTTTTAAAGAGTGCCAAATTGAATTCGTCCCACCATTGTTTCTACATAGATTTCGACGTTGCAGATGGTACGGAAAAAAAATCTGGGAGGGTTAGAAAGAGAAAAAAGGGAGGTTACACAAGTGGTGGGTATAGAAGGGCCGTCCGAAGGGTGGGTACATAGACGTTAGACTACCATCAAGCTCCACCTTCTCCGAAAGTAGGATGAGGGCTTTATAGGGGTGCACAAAATCAGACCTTGAACCTTTTGGAATTGGTCGACAGATGTCTCTCTTCTTTAAATCGCTTTTTTAGGCGCTAATTATGGCCTTTCTAAAAGGAACACTTTTATATGATCCGAACAGTTAGAACAAGATGCAATGATATGCATAACTATATTCCATATTAATATGCAATACTCATCTTTGTATTTATCAATTATCGCGAATTTTTATTTATTCTACCATAAATAATAAATTAAAAGCATATATCTAATTGGTAAAACAAATCATATTCTGTGATGTCTATACATTTATTTTAACTTTTTTTTATTTCTTTTCTATGCATAGATGACGAAGAAGAATCGGTTACGTTAATTTTTGTTATCAATCGAATATAAAATTAAAGTCGGAACAAAATAATAGTGTTAACAAAAAATTAAAATTAATCAATAAACATAATTATGTTAGAGAATATTCTCGTAAATGGATACTTGGATGCCATCTCGCGTCGAAATTAGAGAAATATCACCCTCATTTTCAGAGATGGTATGAAAAAAAAATCGATTCACCCACTCGGCCCACTTCCAATCCCTCGCCCTTTAACACTCCAAGCTTCCGGGAGAGACACGGAAACGCCGCCGGATGTCGCCTCTGGACAGCTCTGAGTTTCTCTCACAGTTTTGCCAAGGACCGATTAAACCAGACGAGAGACAAAAAGTGAAAGTGAAAACGACGTAAAAACATGAGTGGTTTATTTTAACGAGTTGTATTATGATTATTGGTACAAGGGGCGATTTTAATTCTTATTCACAAATTCATTTCATCCTAGTAATACTAAAGAAGAATTATTTTCTGCAAAAATAATAAAATGAACTTAATGTTTTTGACTTGAAAACTTCACATATCTAATATCGTTCATTTTAATCCTTTCGCTTCGGCAGTCCAGTCCGCCGAAGTGTCGTTATGTACGAAAGCTCGCTCAAAAGCACGCGAAAACGCCTGATATATCCAGCGTTCGAAGCGAAAAGGTTAAAAATCTTAATCAAAACTAACGAAGGTGTTTTTTTATTTACAGATCTGTCGAGGACGACTATTGCCCAATGGAAGACATCGATATAATTCAAATGTCAGTTCTAAATCAACTTATTCAACGCATAAAATCTTCCGTAGATATTCAAGAAGATTATGAAAAAAGTAATTAATGGTAAACTATTATATTATACCACATTATATATTATAAACATTACTTTATAATATTAATGACAAATAAAGAATAAAATTTTCCTATAACAAATATAAAAAAAGAAAAAGAGATATGACCAATGTGCTTGAGCATGCATGTGAACAATTCGAGTAAACGAAGAAGAAAGGTCGGAATTGGAAATTACGGAAGATAGTGTGCATCTGCAGAACAAGCTTTCGTAAGGAAGGAGTCTTTGATCTCTGGCTCGATTTACATAAGATCGGTACCACTGTCCCATTATGGGAGCCGAGCACAATACGAATGTGAATATTGGTGTTTTTTTGCATTGAGTCTTTCTCTCTTTCTCTTTGCCCCTAGCCTTTCGCTTGCTTCACAACTCCTTGGATTTGCATACCGTGGGCCAGTTTCCCACACGTCGTCGACGACCTTCATCCTCTCCTTCTTTTTCTTTGCCACGTTCTTTGCTCCCATTCTCTTTCGCTTTCTCTCTCTCTCTCTCTCTCTCTCTCTCTCTCTCCCTACGTTTTCGTCGTCTAGTTACCCTTTCACCCGTCGACGACAAAAAGGAACGCGAGACGCAAAAAAAGGAGAGACGTTTCCTTCTTCATCAAGCCGATAGCATTTCCTGGCGAGACTTTTCTCAAGACAGCCGTACCACCTCGTCTTGCTTAGCACGTTCATTGTCGACGGGACCGTACGAAGCTCGAAAACACTGACGGATATATCTTTGTCTTCTTTTTTTTATTTCTTCTCCTTTTTTTGCGTTGGCCGTTCTGTGAGAACGGAAGCGGATATGAAAGAGAGCCCCCTCATCGTTCTATTGGATTGCTATAACATTTTCAAGTTCACAAGGAAAAAAACTCGTTCTCTTTGAAACTCGACTTTTGAAGGACTGGACAATCATCATATGTTACGATCTGTAGTCGTAGATCTATCAAGATCTATGAAGTCCCTTTCAATATTATTCGATCGTAACTCTAGTTCGTTTGTAAAGAAAAACGATTTGAGAGGAAGAATAGTGAAGTGCATGTGTTACGAATTTTGTATTCGTTATTAAGGGCTCATAATTTAGCTCGTATTCTCGAAAAAGATTTCGTTCTTAAACGAAACATACATCGCAGTTGTATGCAGCTCTGCGACATGTGTACAATTACTTACACATTTAGGGCTGTTCGCTCTAACACGCCCTTAAGGAACGAGGCAATAGCGAATACAAATAAATGTTTAAACGAGTAAGGTGAATGCGGAAGTACGCTTGCAAGAAGAAGGGACGAATTTTGAAGGACCAGGAGAAAAGTTTACGAGCTGGCAGTCTCTGGTAATGACTGTCGTTAACCACCGCAAGGCGCACTCCACCGAGAGCGAATCTTTTGTATGCTAATGACAGGGTGTTCCGATTTCAGTTCCTCCAGTAAAAAAAAATCTTGGAGGTCAACAGACCCATCGTTCGTTCGAGTTTCGAGTCTTTCATCAAGTACTATTGACCTCGTATTAAAACCCTTCGACTTTGATACCGACAAACCACAACAGTCATGAAATTTATGTAAGAAATTATGAATCAAATCTTAACGATTCCTTATAAAATCTCGGTCATTTTCTTTTTATTTCTACACAATCTCTTTTTCTCTTAGCAAAGAAAGTACTCCTCATATACATTCACTTTCAACGATAAAATGTTTCAACTGCTAACAAGATGTCTATTTATGAAATGAAACCTAGGTACAAAAAATTAATTGTTAAGATAGCATGGTAGCACGGCTAACAACACTGTGACCACAAACGAAAGTAAATATCGCTTTTCATCGACCTTACTCTTCTTCGTTTTCATCGCCCTTATACGACCGTTCGAATTTCACTCACCCAACTAACACCGTTCGAATGGGTCGCAAAAGAATTATTCAAAACCAGGGCTGACTGGCAAAAGCACAGCCTGCTACCCTGCTACCGTAATCCCATACCCGTATCCGATTTGCATAAAAGAGAAAAATAAAAAAAACTCTCGCTCCAAAGAAAAACAATAGTAAGAGAAAGAGAGAGAGAAATGGTCACGCTCGTGATCGCATTAACCTTGAGGAAATTGTAGAAGAAATTGATATTCAGTTTGTAAAGGACACATCACAAAAGTTATATATATATAAAGCTTTACTACGAACCTTTTCGAAGCGCGAACTTAAGGATTATGCGCGTGACAAAAAAGATCTTGAATCGACTATGCTAATCAGATAGAAACGGATAGTCGATGCCGTGATACGTCGTTAGCAAAGCCAATTATAGCGCGAAGACCGATTCGCGGCAGGTATTCCTTTTTGGTTCATAGGCCTACCTCGATATAGTCCCGTCTCCCAAAGAAAATCGATATCGAGTAAAAAAGTAACACGAAAAGAACGAGATCGAGGACCCAACGAGATAAACAACGTTATAGGCGGAGACCTTGATAGCCATTGTTCGAAAGCGCTATTTGTATTTATTCGAAGCCTTTGTCCGGATGGCTCGGAAAGCGGGGCTGTAGATGAGAGAAAGAGAGAGAGAGAAAAAGAAAGAGAAAGAAAAAGAGCAAGTAAAGAGGGAGAGGGAAGAATTACTTTGCTAGCTAAAGGGGTGAGGTCCATTAGTTGTTAGGAAACTGTCATGGAGCTTCGATCATCAAAAAAAAAGAAATGCGTGTTTGTCAAAATAGCAGGGAATGTTTAATACAAAAAGAATGGAATTAAATATTCGAGTACGTAGAAACAAAAACATCTTTAATTTTAAATATTATTTGTCCTTTTTATTTTGTTAATGTTCACGTTGTGAAAGAATGATCGATCAGCTTGAAGAGACACGTTTGGACATATATAAAATCCAATTCCAGAAAGGTGTTCGCGTGCGATTTGGCCCCACCCCGACGGACCAACGATCGTGCACGCGCGCGTGTGTGAATGCACCTCATGCATTGGATGCAACTGCAAGTGGTCAGTAGCTCGCAAAACGACTGACCGCTCGGTACATTGGTTCCGCACATCCCGTCGATCTTCCAACATGAAATTCGACTGACACGCTTCCCGAATTTCTGATTACTTCTGATTTCCTACCGAAACGAGATATCCTCGAAGTAACTCATAACTGAAAGTAATTTACTTTCAGTTACTCTATTAAAATACGAGTGAGCGAAAAGTGATTTTATTTCGGTATTTCGAAAATTAAGTGAACCCGATAATGTTCTGTGATCATTTAATTAAAATCGGGAAAAGCATGTGAAATTAAATTGGAACGTTGTGAATTTCGAATATTTTACAAATACTGTAATTTCGTATAGCGTACGAATATATTATAAAACTTAGTACGTATAATAACTTTGTATCTAAAAACCTGTGTGTGATCATTTTAATATGATAATGTGATAAAAAAGTGAATTTTAATAAAATATAAAAACTATTGAAAAATAAATTAACGTTTATTCTCGTAAAATTTTAACAAAATTCTTTCCATCAATCTCGACTATTACTTTTTTTAGATTTCACATTCTTCGTCGCCATGTTCCCTCTCGAAAAAGAAGTTGTTAACTAAAAAAATAAAAAAATAATAATAAATAAATAAAATAAAATCCATAAAAAATAAATTTTCGCTCTTGATGCACGTTGAAAATAGTATGGTGATAAGAATGAAGATAAAAGAACACAAGGGGAAGGAAAGTGATGAAAAGGTCCGTGTCCTTATTAGATGCAGGGATACGTGTAATTCGTACAGCCGCGCCATATTTTATCATCGTTGCTAGTTACATTATATTTCAGGAAAATGGTCGGTGCACGCGTGACATTGCCGGCGAAGGGGAGGATGGTTTATCTCGAATATACAATCCTCGCACCCCTCCCAACGCGTGTTCGAGGGTGGTAGGAGGGATGGCTTCGGGTGGATGGAAAAAGAAGGGGAAGAGAAAAATAGAAAGAAAGGAAGGAAGGGAGAAATAGAGAGGTAGAAAGAAAAAGATAGAGTAGAGGTCGACGAGAAGCCCTCGGTAACCAACGCCCACCGCCAACCACCCCCTACCCTTTAGCTTTTGCGGCGTCTATGGAGGGGTGCTCGGCTCAGAAGAGGGAAGGAGAGGGGACAAGAGAGTGAGAGAAAGCTCGAAGGCAACCCTACACGAAGTGCGCGAACTAACGAAGTTCTTTCGCTTTTTGCATGGAACGAAACGGGGAAAAAAGGAGGAGGAAGAAGAGAAAAAGGTGGGAGAGAAAGAGGGGGTAGTAATCCCCTATTCCTCTTTCTCCTCTCCTATCCTCTCCTCTTCTCTTCTTCCATCGCTCCTCTATTTCTCTTTTACTCTCTCTCACACACTCTTTTTTCTTCCCCTCTCACGTAAACGCGAACCCAAAAGCTGCATATAGTAGGTAATGATGTAGCCCGCTAGATTTCCCGTGGAAAATTACCTACGAACTTTGCCACGGAATCAGGGTAAAAGCGTTCTTTCTCTTTTCTTTTTCCTCTTATTTTTTTTCCCTTTTTCCTTTTTATTCTTGTTTTCCTTTTCTTTTCTTTTCTTTTCTTTTCTTTTCTTTTCTTTTCTTTTCTTTTCTTTTCTTTTCTTTTCTTTTCTTTTCTTTTCANCCTTTTCTTTTCTTTTCTTTTCTTTTCTTTTCTTTTCTTTTCTTTTCTTTTCTTTTCTTTTCTTTTCTTTTCTTTTCTTTTCATTTCTTTTCTTTTCTTTTCTTTTCTTTTCTTTTCTTTTCTTTTCATTTCTTTTCTTTTCTTTTCTTTCCTATCTTTTCTTTTTTTTTTATCTTATTTTTTCTTTCCCTTATTTCGATAAAAAAAAATATTGAGAGTCCATTTTCGAGCTTTTTCTTTTCTCTTTTTTAAATCCTCTCTCTCCTTCAACTTGTGCCTATCTTTATCTCATTTGTTACGAACGAAATTCTGGATCGCAATCAATTATTATAAGATAGAAATAAATAAAGAAAAAAAACTTATAAGGTAGGAACAAAAATTTTCCTTCATCGTTCGCATAAAAGTATTATCCTTTCGATAAACGGAAGGAGTTTGTAGTAAAAAATGTGT